CACTGATGACTCAGTTGACTCCTTTGAGAACCACAGCAGACGCGTTTCCGTCCGCGTTCCCACCCGCCCCCCGGCGGCCAAGGTCTGCTTCACCTACGTTGGATCAACTCTCCCCTCAGCCCAACCCGTGTTTGACTTGGTCATATCACTTGGCTCAGGTGAGACAGTGTGGTGGATGCTGCGCAAACCAACTATCACTTAAAACTTATCTACGCACAAGTTACCATTCCTGTACCATCCTGTTGTGGAGCCTACGTTAGATATAATCGAAATCGGTGGTCAAGCTGTACGTCAAAGTTTGAGTTTGAAAGACAGAGAGAGGGAGGCAGAGTATCATTTGTGTGGTGGTGAGCATGAAACAATTCCACCAGGATGATTCAGACGGGGGGAGGGGGGTTGGGCAGTGCCCACGAAGCCTTTCTCTCCCGGACGTATTGTCCAGACTGTTTTTGCTCTGCAGGCGATTTTGGGCGGACATCAGTGACAATACTTTCTTGTAAATCTACCTCAAATGAGGATGCTTACATTAGGCATGGGGCAACAGCCGTACAGGCTTTTATCCGCAGTTGGACAACAAGTTGAGCCATCCGGACACTTGCTGTGGCCGTCCGGACAGGGCACAAAAGTGTCACGCGTCGACAGGCGGGCTGGCTTCTTCTCCTTCATGGGTAGGTAGGCGGGGCCACTGGTCCAGGGTGACTTTCTCTTGCAAATGTGCCAAAAGCACTCAAAGTCCTCGGGACAGCAGTGCTTCTTGTCATCACAACACGTGGCCTGGAAAGAAAAGGAGGGGCGCGTAAGCAAGGGAGGGAGGATGTCTGGTAAAAAAATGCAAAACATGAAAGTCTGAATGCATGCTATTCCCTTTTGTCCCTCAAAAAGAGCTACCGGGGACTCCGTTGCCTGCGGCACCTTCGCTAACATAAGGACCAATGGTCGGTGTTCGTGCTCACTACCACACTAATAATCCTAGTAGTAATATTAGCAGTGCTAGGATAACTATAAGCAACACCTGTTGTAGTGATATTAGCTCTGGCGATATTTTTAGTTTTCATCCCCTTAATCGGGGAAGTATTAGTAGTATTAGTAGTAATATTTTAGTAATAATAACGGTAACAGTAGTATTAGTACTAGTCATAATTTTAAAAGTATTACTACTGGTGGCGGTATTAAGATTATTAATGCTAATAGTGATAGTAATGGTGACCGAAGTGGTAGTAGCGGTAGCAATGGAAGTAGCCGCAGCATTGGTAATGGGGATAGTAGTGGTGGTATTAGTAATGACAGTGGTGAAAGCAATCATAGTATCGGTAGAATGGTAGTATTAGTAATATTAGTAGCAGTATAATTAACAGTACTACTGGTAATGATAGTACCAGTATTAATAATGGCAGCAGTGATAGAAATGATGGTATACGTACCGCTATTACTAACGTTATTGGCGGTAGTAATGGTAGTAGCGGTGACGTTGGTAGCTGTATCAGTAATTGTCTTAGTAGCATTAGAAGTGGTGGTTGTGGTATTAGTAGTATTAGCTGCGTACAGAAAGTGATTTGTGTATTTGAGGTGAAAGCCACCAGATTCAGCGGGGTAACCAAATAATATATACTTAAATTGTTTACACTCAGCCAGTCAGTAGTATACACGAGTTACGCCATTTATCATGTTGACGACACACATACTTTTGAGGAAATCGAAAAGCGCAAATGTGGAAAAGGCCCATGGGCACGCTGGATACTCACACTGATGAGCCGAACCCACTGCAGCGGCGAAAGACGTGTCTGAGCTTGGAGCTAGTATCTGCGCAATCAGTCTGGTGAATCATCAAGCATCATCTGACCTCGCTGACGAACCTTTAGCGATTACTGACGAAACTTGCTCGTGCCGCTCTGCCTTGGGGCTCGTTTCTAAATCCCGCCAGCAGTCGCCCAGCAGCTAGAATCCTACGCAAATAGCAGTGCCGACAAAGACAAGGGAGTCTGGAGTGGCCATTTATGGCTCAGTAGTCGACATCAGTCGATCATACGAGACCCCAAGTGGTGAACCGCCCGAGGGTCAATCTTTTGATCAGAAGTCTAACGCTTTCACCGGTGAGCCACGAGCTTGTGGCCTTGTTGGTTTAGATCGAAAGATATGACTGACCAATGATGGTTAGAGAGGCAGAAATGGCCATCCCAGTCCTCCTTTTCTCTGCCGACAATGATATCGTCTGAAAGGTATAATACTGAAGTCCTGATAGAGCCTTCTTCAAACACGCG